CGAGAAGATTTCTATCCAGGAATAATTTTCGAGCAAACGGAGCGTAGTTCATTTTCATCTAAACAGAAAACATTGTTTTATACAGTTATATAACCAAAGAAGAGGCTTGCCAACATAGCGCAGAAATGATGTTACTTTCAACATTTAAAAAAAACAAACCTGAAACCCTATTTGATTAAAGAAAAACAACGTAAACAACAATTCTAAAACAAGAAAGTGTCGTAAATAAGTGGAACTATAATCAAAGTTCAAACGTAACAAAAGAATCACATAGGCTACCCAACTTACCAGATTTATCCTGTATACCGAATAAAATGAAACGATGTCAGAATTTAAAAATCTGTTCTTCGCCAATTGTCAAAATAAAAGGCTTTTAGTGGTATTTCTTAATAGTATAAATATATACTATGTTGTTTTTGGGCTTAGAATTCTTCTATAGTAAGTGTCTGTGACTTCTTCACGATAAATTCAACGATAAACAGCACGCACTTCACTTGTTCTCAAAATAATATATACATGTACATTCAGAACAATTTATCGTATGTACAATAAATTCTTCAACACTATAGATATTATGGGCATATCATAAATACGATATAAGTAGTTCTACCCTTCTTGTCAAATAACCACTTAGGCCTATTCAATTAGTTTAGAATTTCAGTTGACAAGTCGAACTGCCTTCTTTATTTCTATCGCACTAGTGCTTACTCTCTGTGATTCACTTACAATTGTGGCGCGAGTTATCGTAATCGTTTGGTCTTTTTTTTTGACGATCCTCTGCTCCTTTTGTCAAAATGCACTCAGGCTGATTCAGTTACTTTAGAACTACGCTTTGACGGAATATTATTATTTTTCTTATCTTCTTTTCTACTGTTAGTTTCACTCTAACATATTAAACGTTAGGCCTATGTAAATCGTTAGGCCTATCACTTCTACTGTAGTTAACTTCATACCAACTTTATTCTCTTTTGCTATTATCTCTCTGCTTCTGTCTGTCTGCTGCTTCCCGTTCGTCTCACGCTATTTATATCTATATTACCTAATCGTCTGTCTACTTTCTATATACTTGACGTCAATATACTGCACGTGACGTTCGATATTCTCAACATCAATGAATTTTTAACAAAACTTCCTACAATCGTCTGCTTTTAACTCTTATTATAAAAAAAAAAAACTAAACAATAATAAAACATTCACT